TAATAAAGGGAAATGAAGGGAGGAGGGAGTTGGGCCATTGTGCGGATTGTTTGGGGTAATCGGCATGCATAGTGACTCTGCTGCGTGACAGGTATACACTAGGTGTAGCCAGGACAACACACAACACAGCGCCGCCCTCTATGTCACACGCTCCCCTCCCAGCACCTCCATGACGGCCATTGTTGGTCAGACAAAAGAGAAAATGTTTGTTGGGTTTTAAAGCCAACAGGTGATGTCAGAAGTGCAACCCGGGAGGGGGCGGGGCCACCACTGCGTCTCAGGGAACGTCCTGCGCTGCAACAGAACTGCTCAGGACAGAGCGAGAGAGAGACTCCGAGAGACAGCAAGGTGAGTGATGGGCGGCTGGGTACCGGGCGTGCAGCTTCCCTTCCCCTCCTCCGGGAAGTACAACGCCGGGATTGGTCGATAGACACCAGTGACATTTCTCCAAAAATTGTGCAAAAATTGGAAACTTCCCAATTAGTTTGTTTCATTTCGGTGTCTTTGTTGGTTTTTAGGGGTGTGTTATACTCCTAAAACTCCCTCACAGTCCCCGAACTCCGAGCAACAATGTATCTGATTTGTGTGTCACTCGGCTGGAGATCCTCCAATCACCTCTGACACCGTCCTCCCTTCTGGAGGGGCGGGGCTACGTCTGTTCCCCATGCTCCCTGTGTGTGTTGTAATGTAAATAATGAGAAACCTCGCGCCACTACTCTAATCAAGGTAAGCAGCAGCTGAAATCTGTGTGGTCAGATATGACGTATGAAATTAATGGTAAAAGCCGCGCTGTGCGAATGAGACCGCAAAGTGTCAGATATAGTGGATACTGACCTTGGAGTAATGTGATACAATGTGTAAAAAGTGCAAAACAAAAAAGAAACGCATGTATATAACAGTGTAAATGTAATTGCTACAAAATATCCAAAATGAAAAATCAAATGCACTAAATATTAACTGTGAATCAATGTGATGCAATGTGCAAAGAATACCCACTGGAAAAACGCATGTGTGTAACACTCGCACTCCAGTGAAAATAATAAATGGTTAAAAAATGTCCATGATCCCGGCTCTTCAATAGTCCAATAAGTAAATAGAGGATAAAACATTGGATGTAGAATAGACTTAAGGTGCCCATACACTTCACAACCCCCTTGAGGGGCGGGCTTGCGATGACTGCAATGAGGAGCGGGGGTATCGAGGACGGCAAACGGGCAGTTGTCGAACCAGCGGGCCACCATCTCGCCGATATTCGTACGATTCCCCGGCGGGTTTTCCAGCCTGCTGGTTCGACGGAAGACGTGCGACCGTACAGTAGAAGCGGTCGCACGCCTTCCACACACTGCGCGATTCTGGGGATTTCCCGCCATTCTCGTACGAGAATCGTGCAGTGTATGGGCACCTTTCGACCTCCTGTGACCAACAACATTTTTATTTTATCTGATGCATGGGCCATTCGGATGAACTGTCTGCTTCCAATTCCTGAGACTGCGAGAGAGCCTGTACCTGAGAGGAGGTAATCACTGGGAGGTGTTCGGCATCAGGTGCTTCCTCTACCTGTTTCGAATTAGAGGAACAGCGCATACAGACCCCGGTGGGTCTCTGCTAAAGGTGAGGTGCGTTCCAGAAGATTTCTCTGTTGATGGTCACAGGAGACTAAGGGGGTCTTGGGGGGGGGGGCCAAAAAAAAATCTTGCACCAGGGCCCTTTGTTCCTTAGCTCCGCCACTGACTGAACCGAAGGGGTTCTGGGGCCGCAACCAGCCGAAGGATCGGCCGAAGCTACGGCCAGATCCTTCGGCAGCTTCGTGAATAAGACCCCTAAGTCTATTCTACATTCACACAGCGCGGCTTTTACCATTAATTTCATGTGTTGTAATGTAGTCACCGTTTCCTCAGTCTCCCCTCCCCCAGTGATCAGTCTGCTGCAGGCAGGAAGAAGCGTTTCCTCAGTCTCCCCTCCCCGAGTGATCAGTCTGCTGCAGGCAGGAAGAAGCGTTTCCTCAGTCTCCCCTCCCCCAGTGATCAGTCTGCTGCAGGCAGGAAGAAGCATTACCTCAGTCTCCCCTCCCCCAGTGATCAAACTGCAACAGTATAACTTTGTATCCAGTCACAAGGCTGTAATAGGGGCTGATCTGTGTCAGACATTTGTGAACACAGACAAGAACTGCACAGCTATCAGGATTTACATGATTGTGTCATCTCAGTGCAGGAAGTAGAGGGTGACCCTGGATGATGCCTGAACAAAGATGGTGCCGTCCTTCTGGAGAGAAAATCAGGTGAAGGCATTGTCAGGGGGAGTCATGTGATCTCTGTGAGAGGTAATAAATACCTGGAAGGGTCACATGACACATTTCTGGGGTCCACGTTAAGATGCTTCTCTTCAATATACAGGGACAGGGAAGTCCAGGGATGAAAGTTCCGGGGACAAATCCTTTTCTCTGGTTGGTCTCTGTACATGAGGTGCAATGCTGATGTGTGCTGTCTGTGTCCAGTTTCTGTTCTCATCTCCCCCTCCCCCTCTTCCAGATGATGCAATCAAATGTGGCCATCCAGCCCGTTGGGGCGCAGCCAATGGCTTTCTCACAGTCGGTGATGATGAGCAATCAGATGCAACCGCAGTCATGGAGTTCAGGCGTCTGCGACTGCTGCGAAGACATGGGAGTGTGTAAGTGACACCGGCATGAAGAGACAAGGCACCAGGGGTCATCTGTAGGATCTCCCCAATCCCTGGGACCAGGGGTCATCTGTAGGATCTCCCCAATCCCTGAGACCAGGGGTCATCTGTAGGATCTCCCCAATCCCTGAGACCAGTGGTCATCTCTAGGATCTCCCCAATCCCTGGGACCAGGGATCATCTGTAGGATCTCCCCAATCCCTGAGACCAGGGGTCATCTGTAGGATCTCCCCAATCCCTGGGACCAGGGATCATCTGTAGGATCTCCCCAATCCCTGGGACCAGGGGTCATCTGTAGGATCTCCCCAATCCCTGAGACCAGGGGTCATCTGTAGGATTCTCCAATCCCTGAGACCAGGGGTCATCTGTAGCATCTCCTCAATCTTTGAGACCAGGGGTCATCTGTAGGATCTCCTCAATCCCTGGGACCAGGGGTCATCGGTAGGGTCTCCTCAATCCCTGGGAGCAGGGGTCATCTGTGGGATCTCCTCAATCTTTGAGACCAGGGATCATCTGTAGGATCTCCTCAATCCCTGGGACCAGGGGTCATCGGTAGGGTCTCCTCAATCCCTGGGAGCAGGGGTCATCTGTGGGATCTCCTCAATCTTTGAGACCAGGGATCATCTGTAGGATCTCCTCAATCCCTGGGACCAGGGGTCATCGGTAGGGTCTCCTCAATCCCTGGGAGCAGGGGTCATCTGTGGGATCTCCTCAATCTTTGAGACCAGGGGTCATCTGTAGGATCTCCTCAATCCCTGGGACTAAGGGTCATCTGTAGGGTCTCCCCAATCCCTGGGACCAGAGGTCATCTGTAGGGTCTCCCCAATCTCTGAGACCAGGGGTCATCTGTAGGATCTCCATAATCCCTGGGACCAGGGGTCATCTGTAGGATCACCTCAATTCCTGGGGCCAGTTTAGGTGGATTTAAGAAGTCCCTGAGATTAAGTATCAGACACCAACTGAAACAGACATTGGGGGATGAACACTATTTGGGAGTTTAGAGGACTCAGGGAAGATTGATGATAAGGTAATTGTGGCCAAAGGCTGAGAATGCTGAGATTTTAAATGTCCATGGTAAAAGGAAAGGGGCTGCAGGAAATGTACCCAATAAGACTAGGCGGTAATTAGAGGAAGGCTCTGATAACACAAGGCAGGGTCTGTAGGGAAAAGATCTGGTCAAACTACGCAGGAACTGAGGGGAAAGGATCTGATAAGACCAGGCAGAGATGGGAGGAGAAGAGTCTGGTCATACTAGGCAGGAACTGGGCAAGTCAAGCACCTGAGAAGTATAGGCAGGGGTTGGAATGGTCAAGCATCTAGTTAAACTAGACAGGGACTGAAAGGGAAGGATCTGGTAAGACTAGACAGGGACTGAAAGGGAAGGATCTGGTAAGACTAGACAGGGACTGAAAGGGAAGGATCTGGTAAGACTAGACAAGGGACAGGGAAGGATCTGGTAAGACTAGACAGGGACTGAAAGGGAAGGATCTGGTAAGACTAGACATGGACTGAAAGGGAAGGATCTGGTAAGACTAGACAGGGACATAAGGGTCAAGCATGTGATCAGCCCAGAGAAGGACTTGGGAGGAAGGATTCATCAGACGAGCCATTGACTGTAGAGTCGAGTATCTGAGGAAAATAGGCAGGAACTGAGGTTTTAGTTGAGCATTATATTATAATTGCTCCGGATTGGCAGCCATGAGCTTAGTGCGCCGGCAGGCAAGGTCAGGTTTAGCAGGAGACAGTTTGAGAGGCAAGGCACAAACTAGAGTACAGACACCAGGAGAAGCTAAGTAGCTACTGGGAACAATCAAGGCCCAGGGACAACAAGACCAGGAAGATGATTCCAGGATCCATCAAGATTCATGAACACGGGACAGGCCAGGGAATAGGACAGCAGGAGATAGGACTGATTAGAGAGAGCAGCCTATACAATACAGAGAAGACCACAGGGAGGGATGTGTCCAGACTCATGAGACCTTGGCCAGGTCTGTGATACGGACCTCTGCTCTTCAATGGTAAACTCATTGCCCGGGCTGAACATTGGTGGGCCTAGTTTTGGCTGAGATTACACCAACTGCAGAAGAAAAATGAAATGATGTTATTGATGGGGAAAGATGAGACAATTGACTGGAGCTACCAGAAGATTGGCAGTGCATGGTAGGTGGTGAGTGGGCCCTTCTTCTCATTCCCTTCTTCTCCTCCACACAGGTTGTTGTGGCTTCTGGTGTTTCCCGTGCTTCCAGTGCAGCACGGTCAGTCAGTTCGGAGAATGCCTGTGCCTCCCTCTGCTGGATCCAGGATGTGCCGGCTATTTGGGGACCAGCTTCGTCTGTCCACCTGTCTCTATGGCAATGAGAGCGGCTGTGAGAGAGCGATACAAAATCTCTGTAAGTTTATATTGGGTAGGGGCTGAGGGTGGGACAGGGTAAGGTCCATGAACCCATCGCACTGGAAACCGCTGTTCCAAACATAATGAGGGCGGGTGCTGCGGCTGTTGACGGTTGGCAATCGTGGTCAATATCAAACGAAATGTATAGACGCCGGCACTCCAATAGCAAGTGAAATGCGTCTGCTTATTGACGTATGAGCGGCATAACGTGATACACTCAATGCAACTGTAGCGATAACTCCCCGCAAGGAGCCGCTGGCTGCCCGGTCCACATCTAGTTGGTCTAGGGGTTGATTTCCAGCTGCACCCCATTAGCACTAACCGCCCTCTCCTGGTGCCCATAAATTGACGTCCACTTCAGTAGAAAGATGCTAATTGAACATTTTATTGAACATCTTGCTTTGGGAGAGAGAATGTAGGGGTTCTAGGTGTCTAGGGGTAACCATCATCCGCTCCCGGCTCACCGGACCTTGTAACAGTAGGCATGCATATCCATAATCCATGAAAGAAACACTGACCCTGGCTCTGCAGTCCACATAGATCCAGGGCACTTCAAGAGTCTCTACTGGTCCTGGTTCTTTTCTTCTATCCATCCCTTGGGCCTCCTCCCTGTTGGAGCCTCAGGGGAACATCTTCCCTCACTTCAGCCACCGCCCACCCCCAGGCCTCGGCCCAGCCTAGGGGGGGGGGGGCAAGCTGAACAGGACTCAGCCCTAATCCATGGCTGGTCCAGGCAAGAGAGAGAGAGAGCTCATGGCAGCTCCCACCAATATATGTACACTCTCCCAGCATGCACCACTGACTGAAACAAGCCCAGTGGTTGGCTGCTGTACTGTACACATATTACAGTCAGTGGCGTCACAAGAGGGGTGTGGGGGGTGCGGCCCGCACCCGGGTGACACCATTGGAGGGGTGACACCAAAATGACTCACAGTCATTTTGGTGTCACCCCCCTCTGAAAAGTCGGGCGCTAGGTCATGGACCGAACGCCCGACAGTATCAGGAGAGAGGAGGGGACCCGGCTGCATTCCTTATCCCGCCGGGTGACTGTCCCCTCCTCTCTCTGCCGGAGTCCATCACCAAGATGGCCGCCGGCAGGTATCAGAATACTGTGTATCACGTTATGCTGCTCATACTTCAATGAAACAGACGCATTTGACCTGCTATTGGAGTGCCGGCGTCTATACATTTCGTTTCAGGGTGGGACGGGTCAGAGTTCTTCATCAGATAACCCTTTATCAGAAACGTATGATGGGGGAACACTGAGAACATGACTGTGAAGGATCTGAGGCTCATCGCGTCATCCAACTTCTACACTACAATTGTATACACAGTGTTATCATCTACTTGAACTGAAGTTCCTGTCCTAGCCATGGCTGAGCCCCAGGAAGGGTGCTCCATGCCAGGAGGATATTTGCTTGAGGTTTGTTAAGTTTGGATTGAAGGATCTAGAAGTGTTCTTCAGATAAGTTGTTGATATGAGGGCCTTGAAGTGTCCTTAAAGCTGAACTTCGGGCAACCAGCTCTACAGGGCTCAAATATTCGTGTCTGTCCTGTCCTATCTACCAAAGGAATTGTAATTCTGTCTGGCCACTTTTATGAGTTAAGGAATACGCTGGTGTCACCTTCTGATTGAACAATGAACGAGCAGAATCACACTGATAAATCATCAGGGAGGGTGACAGTCTGCAGAGACACAGGAAAGGGGAGGGTGACAGTCTGCAGAGACACAGGAGAGAGGAGGGTGACAGTCTGCAGACACACAGGAGAGAGGAGGGTGACAGTCTGCAGACACACAGGAGAGGGGAGGGTGACAGTCTGCAGACACACAGGAGAGAGGAGGGTGACAGTCTGCAGACACACAGGAGAGGGGAGGGTGATAGTCTGCAGAGACACAGGAGAGAGTAGGGTGACAGTCTGCAGACACACAGGAGAGGGGAGGGTGACAGTCTGCAGACACACAGGAGAGAGGAGGGTGACAGTCTGCAGAGACACAGGAGAGAGGAGGGTGACAGTCTGCAGACACAAAGGAGAGAGGAGGGTGACAGTCTGCAGACACACAGGAGAGGGGAGGGTGACAGTTTGCAGAGACAGAGGAGAGAGGAGGGGGACAGTCTGCAGACACAAAGGAGAGAGGAGGGTGACAGTCTGCAGACACACAGGAGAGAGGAGGGTGACAGTCTGCAGACACACAGGAGAGAGGCGGGTGACAGTCTGCAGAGACACAGGAGAGAGGAGGGTGACAGTCTGCAGAGACACAGGAGAGAGGAGGGTGACAGTCTGCAGACACACAGGAGAGAGGAGGGTGACAGTCTGCAGACACACAGGAGAGAGGAGGGTGACAGTCTGCAGACACACAGGAGAGAGGAGGGTGACAGTCTGCAGACACACAGGAGAGAGGAGGGTGACAGTCTGCAGACACACAGGAGAGGGGAGGGTGACAGTCTGCAGACACACAGGAGAGAGTGACAGTCTGCAGAGACACAGGAGAGAGTGACAGTCTGCAGACACACAGGAGAGAGGAGGGTGACAGTCTGCAGACACACAGGAGAGAGGAGGGTGACAGTCTGCAGACACACAGGAGAGAGTGACAGTCTGCAGAGACACAGGAGAGAGTGACAGTCTGCAGAGACACAGGTCTGCCATCTCATGGTGATTGTATCTGAATTGGCGATTCTCCGGGTTTGATCGGTTTGGATGTGAAAGATGAGATCTGGTAACAATTGTTTCTGGTATCTTTAAG